AAGAGATATTTTCGAATTAGTCATGTCCTTATGCTAATAAGTAACTTGCAAAAAAGATTTTTCTTCAACTCGTCTGCAAAAAAACTCCAGCCAAATCTATTTCGACTTCATATGTTGAACCATTCTAACTGTTTAATGATAAAAGGAACTTTTATAACACAGAGATGGTCACAATGGTTTCCACTGGACAGAGTAATATAGACAGATGATAATCGATTGGAAACAAAAAAAACCTTTTTCTATTAATCGTTTGTATCTTGGGGATTCTTGAGTTTTGCATACGAATTTAAAAACTAATGAGATTATAACAATAAACACTCTTAATGTTAATTCATCAACAAGAGATTATAATGTTATGCATTTAGTGCCACTGTTTGTTCATATCGATACTTTTTTTTCTTGCAAAAACTGTACACTTATATAGCCGGACGTGTTTTTCACCCATGATCTTCTCCTCATTGAACACATATATTATATATATATATATATAGATATAGTCATAGTTCCTTATGTCTGCCTTTTAGATCGATGATGAATGTATGAGATGAAATGAAACGATGTGTACGTGTACGCCAGTTTAAATCGATAATGTATTTTGTATAGTGAATCGGTTGCTGTCGCTTTTCTTGCGTTCTTTCACTTTTTTTTCGTTCATTATTTCCGTCTCATTTTGTTGAATGTGTTAAAAGAAGGTTTGGTTTCCCTTTGAAAAAAAATGTGCATATGAAAATATGTTGCAAAAGAAACAAAAGCACAATGGTTGACAATAAAAAGAACAAAAAAACAGAAGAAAAATCATCCGGCAAAGTTTATGCTGCTGAAAAATTATTGAGACGACGGCGATACAAGGTAAGAGAAAATCACAGATGGAAATTTGAATAAAATATTTGTAGAAAACCAATAACATTTTACTTTTCCAATAGAAATCTCCTCCTGTTTGCTCAGGTATTTTTCAGAACAATTTAAGATTTAACCCTATGACTGAGACAATCAAGTGTGTTTTAATTTGTTGAAGTGCAAAAACGATAGCATTTTTTCTGTTATCCTAATAAACGATTTTAATAATAAATTATCGTTTTTTCACTACTAATCTACGAATTGGAAATGATTGTTTTAGGGAAAAACAGAATATCTAGTTAAATGGAAAGGTTGGAAAACGAGACATAATACATGGGAACCAGAAGTGAATATTATCGATAAACGATTAATCGAACATTTCAAAAAACAGTAAGTATTTTACTCTTCATCAAAGATCTATACAAGCAAGATATGTCTGCCCTTAGACCTTTCTGGAATATTTGTCCGTATCTATAGTTCAAAAAATCTTTGTATTTCATGAGTTGTAGAAGTTTGTATTTACCTACCACTTACTCATATTCTTACAGATCTTTATTCTGTATACAACTTATTTTATTTCCTTCGTTTGAAAACGTAATGGGTTGGGCAGAGAAAATGGTGCGATTTTGCAAAACTTTTTCTCAAGTTAAAGTTGTTCAAAAAATTTCATTTTTATGTGAGAAAGATAGACAATTGTGTCTAAATTTTATTCATATGTTGTTTTAAAAATAAGCATGTCTCCTTCTTTTGCAACAGTAAAAGTACCGGAAGCCACGAAAATCTCAACTGTGCAACTGCAAAATCAGAAAAATTCGAAATGCACCTTTTCCCCCTTAAATATTTTTCAAAAAATTTGATTCGAGGCCTATAAGATGCAGAATTTTTCGGAGTATCTAGCTGTGTGTTGGTTCTTACACGCTTACTTGTTACTACTTTGTAAATTGATGAAACACATAAAAAAGACATCTTTGACCGATGATGTGGTACTTTATTTTGGAGATTTCCACAAAGTTTTGACTTACAAAAATTATTAATTTTATATCAAAAGGTACAGAATTTTAAACTACACAATGCGTTTCTTTCTATGGGTTGGATCGTTTCGGTACCAGATGAAAGAGTTGAGATAACTTCCTTTATAGCGGATGGCGGCAAACACAAATAATAACCCAATGGTTGTAGCCTGTTTTTACGACTCGAAAACTGTGTCCAAAGATATGGTTTTGTACCCCGGCAATTAAGAATTTATTATAGTTTTTAGTACTATGTTTGAATTGCGCGAGCAAAACTTCTATGAAGATACAAATTATTTCTTTTCCAGTGAAGTGGTACCTAGTTGAGAGTTTTGAGACTTCCAGTATTTTGAGTACAGTGAAAGAACTATTAAGGTACATCTTGATCTTAAAACAAAGGATGAGTTATAAAATGACGTCATTTTCTGTGCCCAATCCGTTAGTTGTCCATTGAAACGATTTGTAATTTTTACTTTTTTCGCTTTAGTCCATTGCCATGTCGTTCTAGAAAAGTTCTCGAGGTAACGTGGTATTACTATTGTAAAAATTTCTTCTGCTACTACTTTCCCGTTCTTTAGGTTGTGTCTAGTGAAGAAGAAGAAGACAATACAACCAATGAGGAACCAATATGTAATATCAAATTGGAAAATAAAACAGATTTACTCCCGCGTAATATTACAGCTGAAACATTAGAGAATAATCATAATAATGAAGATGCGAGTAAAGATTTAAAATCGATGTCTGTTATTCAAGAACCTATTGAATTTTGGTATCCAAAATCAGTCGAACAAAAATTTGCTATTACAGATGTCATATGTAATGATGTGACGGTAACTATTCGTGAATATGTTAACCGAATATGAGAATGTTTTTAGTGTTATGTAAAGAAGTTTATTTTGAATTTTTTTTTTTAAATGAATGTTCTTCGTAAACTCATAGGAATGATTATTTATAAACAAGGTGTTCAATGAGAATAAACTAAATTTTCGGTTTTGTGTATAAGTCGTAGTTCAATTAAAAGTCACACTAAACAAACATTTTGTTATTATTTATTTTCAGTGTTTTTTTAAAGACTAAAGATTTGTCTTTGAATGCGTGCGTAATTCTATGCAATTTGCTTTAAAAAGTATACCGAAACAATAAAAACCAAACTATACCACGATGTATCTGTAGTTATGGAAGAGATGTGTGGCAAAGATTTTGATCTATTCATTGAATCAGGAGTCATTGCATACTATGCATAGTATTATTGTCTTGGGATAATGTTAAGTAGAATCCTGCAACGGGTACCTGTAAATTATGTCGAACTGTAAAAGAAGGTTTCTGTCCGAAAGAGACCAGAAGAGGCATAGCTTGTTCCGCAATAGAATTTTGTGGAAAAATACTTTGAGAATATTATGAGTCGTCTTCGAAGTTTGAATGGGTTTTAGTTTAGACGAGGGACGTTTTTGAAACCTGTGGAGGCGAAGGGAGAAAAACAGATCTAAACCGGTAAACCCGTACTGTTGCAGAACGCCTTCTACCCAAATCAAGAGTCGCTCAAGCTTTGGAGACAACTGAGAACATTCTCAAAACATCTCTCCATAAAATTCTATTGTGGAACAAACGTTTGATTGGCGGTATCTTGAGGGTTCTTCTGATATTTGAATAAACTTTGTAATTTCACTGAATCTCAACAAAAGTTTATTATTACGTTTTTAAACATTCCCTTTCTGTTCAGTATACCGTAGACAGTGGGAACTGTCCAAAAAACATATGCAAGGTCCGTTAAGTGTATTTAGAAAATGATATTGTTGGTGCGAAAAATATTGAACTTAACCGAACCAGATAAGACAGAGATTGGCAAGGTTAATTTCAAAGGTAAAGATTAGTCCGTTTTCTCACCGATGAATCAAAAAAATTTCTTTTGTGAAACAGAAAACAAAAATACATTGAATTATATTCACTATTATATACATAAAAATGTCTTACTCAATTTTTTTATGACTATATAAGAAATAGAGTCAAAAAGCATTCTATTCGATTCGGTTTGACGAGTAGATTCCGAATATATCGTTATTTTTTAATAAAAAAGTTTTTGATAAATAAAAATCGCAAAACACGAGCAGGATTCTTGATATTGATAGAAGTGAAAAAACTTACACTCCATTAGCAAAAGTTGAATATTATACCAAACGATGAGCAAATTGATTCTAGTGTGGTATGATGTAGAAAATATCAAAAAATTCCCGTTGATCCTTGTCTGTAGGTTCAAAATACATTTTAACGTATATTGTTTCTAGATTGACAATATAGCATGGAATAACGTTGATTTATATATCAAAATGTTCGGACTATTCTTATCTCTTTATCCCAATAAACCGCTAAGAATTTGATAATACGATTGTCAAGAAATCGAAAAAATATTTATTTGGACTTTTATGCAGAGACGATAAAAGAAATTTTCTAGTCCATGAAGGAAGTCACTCTAGACCATAAAAATTGCAGATTATACTCAGCTCTAGTACGGCTACAACATACGTGAGAATCAACTTGATTGAAAAATAATCCACTCCCACTGGCTGACTGATTTTCTCAGAACTTCACTCTTAAATATTCAGAAAAATTATACAATGTTTGCAATCAAACAATTAACAAATAACTATACTCAGTTGATGAAATTAAGATATTCAAATGCTTTCTTTTTTTATTAGGTTCCATCTGATTTAGATTAGTTTAAAATAAATGTGTAATAATCAGGCTGTGTACCTGATATGGAAATTTAACTAAAAACATCGCCTACTCAACGATTTAAAATACATCTTAAACAGTAAATACTGTAAATAATATTTAAATAAATATTTTTTCTCTAGTAATTTCCATGTATTGTAGATGATACATGGACATTGAATAAATTTTGTTTCAATATCAAAATCACATAGACATTGTATCTGATCAATCGAAAACATATTGTTAGTAATTTATTTTAATTATTTTTCTCGTAAAATTGTACACTATTATTTCCAACATCTGTGACAATCATTGTATGGTTATTTGTAAAACAAACATAATGAGGTGCTTTCATTTTATCGCCACGAAAATTAATTACTTGCCCATTTTCACTATTCATAGATAATATTTTTGATGTATAACGATCCGCTAATATTAATTGATTTGAATTATCACAAACAATTCCTAAGATAAAATATCATTTTTGTATAATAATATAAATCTATGGTGACTCACATACCTTCAGGTACACTTAAATTCAAATGAGATTGTGCATCTGTATCAATATATCGTTGTACACTACCATCAGTTTCATAAACAATAATACATCCGGCATTATATGCACACGACTCCGGTCTTATACGTTGCCATGCTGTTACATAAAGTAATCCATTACTAATTGAGATATATTGAGGATCTAGTTTTTTTGAACCTAAATGTTAGATTAATTAATATCAATTCTTAAATAAACAATTTCTGAGTGATATAAAACTCCAAAGAGAAGATTGTGTTCATAAAAATGTTAAAAAAATTGTGTAAGTAATTTGTCACTTTCACTTTTTCGTTTAAATCTTTAAATCTTTTATAAAAAAAAAGTTATTTAATTGATTAAGAGTCAAACGTCGTAATCGTGAAACAGCAATTACAGAAATGAAAGATTTGTAAATTACAATTACCTCTTAATATTGTCCATTCCATCTGATAATGCATTTGATGATTTAATGCGACTATTCGTGAGTTGTATGAATCACACACATAAATTGAGTTATTATCGATTGCCACACCTTTTGGCCAAGAAAAGGAAGCATTTGTACAGCCTTCTTTTTTACTTCCAATGAAACTCAATAGTTTCCCATGATACCAATCATATTTTGATACTCGATGTCTATCGGTTATAATAACATATTGATCGCCCGCTAAACATAAACCATCTGGAAATAAAAAGCCTTTTATGACACGTGCTGATTTCATTGTCAAATCGTATACAATAAGACGATGTTTTTTTGTGTCTAAAATGGAATAAATAGTTAAGATAAAAACTTTAAAGAATGTGTAACATACCAGCAATAATTAATTGATTTGTATCAGTTACAGCAATCGCTTTGGGTGCTAAGAATTTATCAGATTCATTGACACCATTCAATATCTGTGATGCTTTTTTACTGTAATGATTTAAATTAATTTGTGTGATTGGCATGCGAGGTGTTAGTGGAATATTATCATTGAAATTAATTGAATGATCTCCGTGGTTTGAATTTGTGCTATGAACATTAATGTTATGTGTTCTAACCACTTTTCTAACAGCATATTCATCGCCCTCTTGTTCAATATCAGCTAGATGATCATCAATTCTTGAATGATTTAGTGAACCAGTACTGGGATCGGTACCATCATCTAATTTGGAGCTAAATGTAACTGAATAACCTCCTTGTCCACGATAATCACTTCCTCTATCACGAGGAAACGAATGGGGTCCGGATGTAGTGCGTTCGGTTATAACCGTTCGTTTTTTTTGTGCTGGTTTTTGATTCACGACCACTACTCTGAAAACAAACAAAAGCTCACTACGGTGTATGACTTCTGACAAAATCCAAGAAATAAATGTAGACTAAATTGCTCAATTGTTCTCTAATTATCCTAGCTTTTTTTACAATATAAACTTTATGTCTTACAACTAGAAATCTGGTACATCACGAATGATATTGCAGAAGCCGCTTCAATTTATTAACATGTTATTTTTTTTCATTTTTTTTTAAAGATTAGGCTGGTACAAGACAATCTTGTTTTTGTGGAATATTCAAAAATGCTCGCTAGATGTTTGAAATGTATACTACTCCTCTATTTCGTGAAATTTATCATAAAATTCTTTTGAATTTAGTAAACGATAAATGAATTACGTTAGTACTGCATAGTGGCACTCCCGAACTTGAAATACATATAATTTCTTTTCCTTTCAATGAATTCTCATAAATTATTTTTAGTTTTATAACTCTCTATTTGCATCATCTACGACAAAAAATCACGCTTTTATCTGTTGGGATTGTTCAGGAGCTAAATAAGTGTCGGTGCCCGTACTGGTGTGGTACCTATACCGAGCGTTCGGTACTATTGGAACCGCTACCGACAGTAACGAAGCTTTCGATGCCAGCTCAGTACCGGTACCGAAAGTACCGAAGTTGTTTTCATTATCTAAATCTATTTTTGAGCTTACAAAAAGTTTTTTTCTCCCTAAATCGCGAAGATTCCCGTTCCTTAATTTTTTTCGTAAGTATCAAACTTTTCGGTACTTTTCCTGCTACAGAAAGATTCGATACCTAACAGGGTTTTTTTTTCGGTACTGATCGAAAACAGTACCGGTACTAAAGTATCAACGATTCTCTAATGGAGACAACAACATAAGAAAACACCGATTTCAGGTTTACTGATCATTTTACAATCATAATTCCCTACAAAATTCTCTTTCTGTAAGGTTGGATTTTGTTTTTTATTATTTTTCATACCCAATGTTGCTACAATTGTGGTTCTTCTTACCTTTTCTTTCATCTAGTAAGGTAAATCTTTCATAAAATGTTGAGCTCTATTATGCATTTCACTGATAAAAAACATGCGATACATAACAATAATGTAGAGTCAGTTCTAAACTAAGAAATCTATATGCAAAAAGAAATTTATTTCCATCTGTAATACACCATATGATTTCTTGTGAAGTCGGAAAATCTTTTAAACTTTCACATTTCTGCGATAGCTTTGGAAAGACAGTAACTTCTGTCGCTTTAGGGAAGTTGGATCGATCCATATGTAACCATCCAGAACATTTAAAGCTGTAACCGTCATAACTAGGACTGTGCATATCTTGTACAATATAAAAAATAACAATTTTTGACGAAAACCACAGATCACCAGCTACTGCAAGACTTTTATAGTAAAATGAGACAAAAGTTTCCATTTTCTACCCTCTTTAATCTAGATTGAGACGTTCCTCCTCCTCAGAATTCAATAAAAAATTTTCATTCTGAAGAGCTACGGTTATCTGGTAAAATATTTAAGAATAAAGTCTGCTTCATGGCTAAATCTAAAGAAAAGAATCTCTGTAAACTCTTTGGTTTTCCAGCTATCGATTTACAAGAAAATACAACAAACAATTTTCTACAAAATGAAACGTTGACAGACTCTATGCGATGACTAGTTCGAAAGATGTCAAATTTGTAGATTATCTCATCTTCTTCAGTCAAAAAAAGGTTTCCGAAAGAGGCAAAAAAAAAATTCTCAAATTTTTAATTTTTCACAGCAACTAAAACTGACGCAAAAATCCAACTCTGTGAACACCTAGAGAAAAGCGCTCGCTACATTTTGAGACAAACTCGAGATTTTTAGCTCCTGAACTGGCGGAGAAATGTTGAAATCTGAGAGATTCACTCCCTTTGTCACTATTTTAAGAATAACTAGGGAAAAACATGGAATAAAAAGCTGAAAACTTTTGTGTAATCGAATCTCGATGTGACTAATATCTACTGAAAATGCTATTATGATCAAACACTTCTCAGTAGAGATATATTCTTTACAAAATTCAATGCTTTTGAAAGAGATGAGCATGATCTTTACAGAAAACGTTCGACTTTTTAGTCTAAAATGAAAGTAGTAGTTAGGAAAATTTCTTTTCCATATCTATTAAGTTCATTCTTGGTTAGTTGGTAAAAATATTTTAAAAGCAAGTTTTTTTAATTTTTTTTTCGAATTGTACAACAACAACGCAATCCATTCATACTTTTTGGATAAATTCAATTTCTATTTCTATTTTTAATTGAGATCTATTTATGAATAAACGTATTATCGTTCATAACAATAGAAAATAAAATCTAGCGCCCTTTCTACAGTAAACACGATTCTCAATGAAACCTAAATCTTTTTCAGTATTTAACATGATATTCCATTACATTAAAAAACTGTCTATGATCCATGAAATTTTTAATAAAACTCCAGGAAAACGTTGTACAAAAATCCTGTGTGTATTTGTGGCACAGACATAAAAAAACCTCATATCAAAATTTCAAGAGCTTAATCTTGGAATATGTTCTAGAGCTCATTCTGTGGCGTTTCTCATCGAAAAAATCAAATTTATTCTGAGCAAAACTAACTCAGACTTATCGTTTACTGTTACTTTATTGAGTTTTGTATTTCCAGTTTAATGGACTTTTGAGAAGACTTTTGATCACTTATAAGAACTTAACAGAAGATAAAAAAAATGAGGCAGATTCTGAGAGTAGACACTTCAGTTGCACGCTGAGCTTGGCTTTAAAAAGAATGTGATCTCCGAATAGGAGATCTGTTTGATCTTCAAGCATTACCCTCAACACCGTCGTACATCTGTATCATCAGCTAAGAAAATAAGTAGACTAACATGACACTTTATCTTTTCCCTCGCTCGGTAAAGCAACGTAAGAGTGAATTTAACAGTGAAATACTATCTGTAAGAATAATTTTTATTTTTATTCTGTTACAAGGAATACTTACTGTATTCAATTTTCCTCCCTTTGCGGCTGCTGAATGTCTCATTTGTCCGTTATGAATCACTGCGCCACGATGTAATAATAGATTAGCCGCTTCTCTCGATAATTGGTCTCGATTACTTTCATCTTTGATATTAAAAACATTGGGATCAATTCTGACTAATTGTTGACGAGGTACACGTGCTTGAGTCATGTCTTGATTATGTTGCTTCAAATGTATTTCACCTAATCTATTATTAATTGTTGCTATGGATTTGTATGTAAATTCAACATGTTGATCATCTAATTTTCGTTGTATATCATTCCAATGTTTTGTTAATCGAAAACGATCTGTTGAATTCCATTTTTTTGGATTAATCTGAAAGAGAGTGAAAATATAGGATACAAAAAAAGATCTAGTCTTACTATCACCAAACTTTCTCTAATTCTTGTGAATCTTTTTCTACATCATGTTTCAATTTTTGTAATTTTTCATGGGACGATGTTGAGTGATTTAGATATAAATCATCAATTCGAGCATTGAGTATATGTTCTTGTTCTAGAAGAACGTATATTATTTATACGTATGCAAAATTAACTAATAAAAGCAAACCTTTCAATTCTTTGTGTTGTTTTTCAACATCTTGATGTACTAAATGTTTCGCATTATTTTTTGATTCTTCAAAATCGTTTTCAAAATGATTTATTTTCTTTAAGATATGTTCTTTCAAATGTATTAGTTCACTATATTCTTTTTCTTGTTCATTTTCAATTGAACGTTCATGATCATGCATACATTTAAAACATGCCATCTTTCGACAGTGATAACATCGACCATAGGACATTTTTTTATTACATAATTCACATATTCCCAATTGAGCTAAACGATGATGTTCAGCATTTTTCAATGTTACTACAGTATAATTTTTTGGTAATTGTGATATATCATGGACACTAGCCAGACGTTTTGTATCATGACAAATTGGACATTTTATTATACCATCTTCTTGTAATGAATTCTGTTAAACATAATATGAGCAATTTATAGATGTACGGTTAGTGCTTCGTCTATTTAACTTACTTTAATACAATCATGACAGAATGTATGCCCATTCGAACACAATATTCTTGGATCATTAAAATCTCTTTCACATATTGGACAATGAAGTAAAGCATTTGTGTCAAATAATCGTGTAATTGACTCAAAATCATCGTCGTTTGATGTCATTATTAAAAATACGATTTTTATTAAGAACTTACTGATCAATGTAATAGAAACTTTTTTCAATCGTTGACGATTAAAGAAGTTGATAAAAGCAAAAATTATGTTGTTAGGTGTGCGCAGTATGGTGCTTCAAATGTTATTATGAATAAATTTGAAAAAAAAAGTTAAAGGAATTTGTTTCATTATGATCCCATTACGATTTGTTGCGAAACTAGAACATAATTGAATGTTAATCGATTGAATAATACACAACTTTTTGTTGTTGACATTAATTTTTGTCCGTATAGATTGAAAGAAAGAAAGAAATAGATAGTACAAGATGAAAAATTGACAGAAAGTTCAATTTATTCGAAAGACAGAAAAATATAAGAATTGATATAAAACACTTCGAACAAACTTGATAATATAAAGTTAAATAGGAGTATGTCAAGTCTAATTAACGGATAATTGATCAAAACGGAAAATCGTTTAGAAAATATTTTGTCATGAATAAAAAATTGTTACTATAACTGCTACGTAAGTACAGATGGTAATATTGACAAAAAATTAAATTTTTGCTTCTCCAGATGAATTTTTATTTCATATTGTCTAGAAGAAATCGAACTCTTACTGTTTCTATGATTACCTCTAGACTTTATTCATCTGGAAAAGCTAAAATTTAATTTTTTATCAATACGATCACCGGTACTTACGTAGTAGTTACAGCAACATGATATAATATTTTCTAAATGATTTTCCGTTTTGATCAATTCACGATCGAATTATTCGTTAATTGAAATTTCATTGCAGGACGGCATCATTTCGGATGCACGAAAGTTAAATGATCGATTTCTCCCAAACCATATGAGAAAAAAATCTAAGTTTTCTTATTACTTGTAACTGATGCTTCAAACTATATTACTGTAATCTTCAGTTCTATACTTTGTCACATTTTCAAACTAAACTCTCTCATAATAGAAAAACATCCGTATAACAAGACCACTGCTACTGATTCTTTTCTGAGGTCCGATCCACGATTTTCAATTAAAAAAAATCGTTTTCAGTTAGTTACTATGGGAGGAGTTATACGCGACTGGATTTCATCTGTAATTTCACTAACGTGCTGATCACTCGACAGAGGAGCGCCATCTTGTTAGGTTTTTCCTTATCATGACTATTTGCAGCCATTCCTAAAATATCAGCCGAATCGGGTTGGATCACTTACATAGGCTGACTCGTAAGATGAAGGTTTGTGAGAGTCATCGTCTGCATAAGAACTTTATCCAGGTGAGCAAAGATCTAGAAGAGTTTAATTTCGAATGAAAAGTATTCTTTCTCGAAAAGATCAACCTTGCTTTCACTTGAAAGTGGAATATATAATTTTCGCGGTCTGAACTTTCCACGATTCTTTCAACACTTTTATTTGAAACCTAAGAATTTTTCGGTGCAAAAAAAATGGTAAAACGCATCACAAACTCTTGTATTTCACAAGTAGAAACTTCAGTTTGATTAGATAAAATTTTGATGCTGCTATAGATTGTTCAAAAAAAGTGTTTCGTACATTTTCGTTCTCACCTATTTAAAAAATCTTTTTTAATACGTGCTTCTTCTAGCTCTATCCAATCATGCCAAAAAAAACGGAAAAATAATCCTTTTTGAATTCTATAAATTATCTGTGAGATCTTCAAATTTTGAATGGAAATTTGAATGCTTATAAGGATTTAAATTATCCATTTCTAAACTCGTTAATGATTTGTAAAATGAGTGAAAAATTCAAAAATATTTGGTTTGGTTCTACACACACATTTACGAAACCAAGTTTGTATTTTAGAATTTCGAATTGATTTTTCTTTAATGTACCCAAAATTAAAAAAACACCTGACTCTGGAAGTAATTTTTCTCGTGGATGATTTCAGGTACATTTCATTATTAAACGAACAAAAGTTGCTTAAAGTGTTTAGCAATAAAACTGCCCTGCAAAGATTTTTTTATCGGCTCTGATTGTGCACGGATGTGCACCGATGCCAAATAGTTTTTTCTACGCACCAGTGCGCGTCGGTGCGAGAAAGAATGTAAAGATCTCGCACCGGTGCGCATCGATACCAAAGTTTTGTTTGCAATCAATCACCATTTTGTTTTGTGAACTTCTGTCTATATCAACACCACATATACTTCTAAATATTTCGATTTGGCTGACTTTATCTTTTCCTTTTCATAAGAGAAATGCCGAGCCAATGCCGCATGGTTTTGACATGGCAATGTGGTACTGATCAGTGCCGCATTCGAATATAAAATTCAGTATAAACAATGATTACTGATTAAATAAATTCCAGTGTGACATTGTTTTTTATCAGCGCGGCACTTTTTTGGCATAAATATATCGGCACTGGTTCGGCACTTGTTGGACACAGGTGCATACCTGTTCCAACCAGTGCTAGCGACCGATGGAGTGCCATGTATACCAATACGCACTAGAATTAAAGCGAGCAAGTAAAGCGATGAGTTACGTCGGCCACAACATCGACTATTTTGAGCATTTACTGAGTTACGTTTATTTTCAGCACCTAAACAAGAAAGATAATCACATCAGAGTGTGACGCAAAACTCGACCGCGTTTTCATAAACAAAGAAAGAAAAACAGGAAAACATACACAAATATTTACACAAAGTCATAATGGTGACTTTGGTGTAGTGACATCAAACACAGTTTTGTGTATTTCATTTTACTACAAATAAGAATGGCAGAAAAATCCACCGATATTTTACATAAATATTTTTTTAAATGTTTCAACTATCCTCAAACGATACACATCCTCTTTTGTATGATCCGAGATGATGTTTGTTAAGTTTCTCGTGATCTGAAATAAAGTACGTTGTTTCTGTATTAATATCTGTTATATATTTTAAAACTTGAAGATACGTAGAAGCGACAAAACAATACTATACTGAGATTAATTTTGTTAAAAAATTCTTTTCATAAAATATTTATAGACAAAAAGATCGAAAAAAGAATTATTAGAACAAAAAAACCGAAAAAATGTCTTTTGTAAAACATCACGCCCTTTAAGGTCTATGTTTTCATTTCTGTTCAATGTTTGGATCTCGGCGAAGTCACTTAGAGTCATGTCGTTGATACTTGTCGGACTGTTCTGTTTCTATCGGACTTCTGTTCCTGCTAAAAACATCTTCATCCATCCGTTTATTTCCATACATATCACAATCGTATTTAAGACGGTATAAATTATCAATATCACTTTCAAGACGATGTTTTAATTTCAATGCATCATTGTAACGGTCATTTTTTGGAGTTAAAGAAGATTTAACCAATGATTCGTATATATGTTTCTCAGTACAACGCGTTATGGTTTCAACACTTAAACATATATGCATATGTGCGCGACAATAACCATTGTCTGGATCTTCGGCGGCTTGAGACATCCACTGACCGAAATTCCAGTGTATATAATCAATAGGACATTGCGGCCCTAATTGTAGTTCTGTTACAAATTGCTCCATGATCTGACAAATAGATGACCATCCGTCAGCTTGTGTAACATATTCATCGCTTGAACGATGTCTAGGGAACCATTCATGTAGGATCTTCAGGACTGGTTCGACACACGAAGGATGGGGAGAAGGGGTTGTCAATTTTTCGTTCCGAGCCAATATGAAATTTTTTTCGCGAACACAGAAACACGTAAAACTTTTTCGGAATTTTTCAACTATCGAGGAGAGGTCAACCGCCGGATCAGTCCTGGGGTATCTGATGCCAAATGAAAAATCACCGGTACAAGAAAGATTTACTAAAATTATTTGAATAAGTTATGCACAGTGTGGTGGCTGGAAAAACAGAGGATCAAATAAGATAACTTGGATCCATAGAATATGGAGTAGTCGACGACTGTACGATAAAGAGCCGTGTGAGTTGGTATTTGAGATTGATGGGAGAGTGAGTTCGAAAAAACTGACACCACCGAAGAGTCAGGTAATCTAGTTGACTACGTAGCTACAAATAACAGCAGAGAGATAGCCATTACGCATAAAAAAGGCGGATTCAGTTCTCCAACATAAATTCGCAAGCTACCAATACAGAGAGAGAGATGGGGAATTAGTACGATGAACATTACTTGGTTAATTAAAGATAAGTAACTTTCTTTTCTATTATTAGGATAAAGGTTTTGTCACTATGGTGAGAGAACAGTTCATTTCAAAAATTGCTCTCAAAAACGAAGGGAATTCAATAGATAAGGTCGAAAGCATATATCAATTTTCCAATGAATAATACTCTTTTGCGAAACTGAGTCTTTAGGAGCATTGCTAACGAAAAAAAATAGAGACAGAAGGACGTAGATAGGAAAATATTTTTCTTATCAGAACTCCAACCACCATCTCAATTCAGTTAAATTATTAGCCCAAATTAATGTAAAATTTCCGTTTTATCTACACATTTTCCACAAAACTTATTTAGGAATGTAAACTCGGTTCAGAAGCATTTCTCATCAGAACGAACTAGACCCTTACAATTAGTTAACCAAACTGCATCGGGTAGTTAAATAAAATATGAGAGTTTACAGTGAAAAAAAAGTTTTTTAAAAAACTCATCAGTTCGTAGCGAACTGATGTACGAACTGATGAATTTAAAGAAAGAAACGTGCAGCTATGCCAACTACAAGTTCTCCTTGAGTTATTTTTCTTTTTCTTCTTTTTCTGTTCTATCCTTCTTATCTATTCGCTTCTTTTTATACCATCGTTTGTTCGAATGTCTATTACATTCCTGATGATGCCAACTGAAAGCTGGCGAAAGCTCGAATAAAGTATTTTCAAGACTGAAAGTCATGTTATTCATAGCAGTTCTATATTCGATTTACAAATACTTATTTCCAACTGCTCTACCAACAAATTTCACTTAGGATAACGTTTTGCATTAGCAAGAGTACCACGAAACAAAAATAGTTCTAGTTCACCATGGAATCCACAATTTTTTCTACGCATGGCCTTTAAACAGTCTTCAGAATACTTACTTCCGGCACATCTTAAACATTTTGGATCTCTGCATTTTAAGTAAACTCGACAAACATAATTTCCATTACAATTAGATGTGTGTAGAAAGTTTTCCTGATGTTCTTCACGAATTTATCAAGAAATTCATGCGGAGTTTCATAGAGATATTTGCCCTGATTTGTTTCCCATCACACCAAGGTTCTTGACCACTGGTATGCTTGCTTCGATGATTTTTGGCAAAATTATTGACCTTTTCTGCGTCTTCTTCCATTTGTCGTCTCTCACGTTCTTCTTCTTCAACTGTATCAATGTACTTATTAGCACGTTCAACTGCAGGCTTATTATTCATTGTTTTTTGTACATCGTACCATTTGTTCGGATCAAAACGGATGAACATATGACATCTGAACGTTTCACCATTGGTTCGTAGAATAAGTTGAGTCATTTTTCAGTTCAGGATACTTCGATAACTCATCCAGAAGCGACCTAGCTCCCGATGCTAAAAGTTCCGCGTCATATAAACCAAATTCATTGTCTAAATGAATTTCTGGTTCTAGTAATGAAAAAGAAAAGTATTAGCTACCTTCAGAAAATCAGTGGATAGCGAAGTGATATACCTCGAGCAACATTTCTCTTTCAGCTTAAGAAAAGAGGCCTTCTATGGCACGTAAAAAAACTAGGAATTATCACAATTTTATTTCAGATTGTCCTTCTATTAAAACAAAATACCTGTAAGGTCGTTGTTTGTTTCAGTATGTTTGAAGCGAATACACGAGTCCTGAATACATCGTTTTTCACTGTTATAAGGACCTGAAATACAAAAAGCAAATGGTTGCACTCAAATTTATTCAAGACAAACTAATACGATCTACTGATCATGGCTGAGAATGTTGTACTGAACAGTAAATTTGACATTAAAAAGCACAATTAGTCTACCTGCATCGTCATCAACAGAATCTAATGACAAACAAGTTACCAAATCATGATCCATGTTGCATGCGAAATGGTGGAAAGATCAATGGCCTATTTCATGTATGATCGTAAACAAAATAATTGCAGCATATTTAACTACATCCTTGCGTTCACAGGCATACTTTGAACAATTCACTATCTAAAGAAAACGGTCATATGAAAGATACCAACTATATGCTACATTCTTACCTGTTTATTTATATACATCTTTTCTTCATCTTCTTCATGTTCACGTCACACAATAAGCTCCATAAACAGCGCATGGCATTGATACAGGAAAATCATTGCCTTCTTGAATAATAACTGATGATAAACTTTTTCCAGTAAAGGCATTTTTCATTTGATTTCTAACGGACTCAGGCACGTCACTCTAGAAAATCAAAATGACATTTTTTCTGTTTAGACCTGCTGTGCATTACTTACGGGAAATTGCCAGTGTACTGTTCGAATGGAATAAAATAGACACTAAAATTCAATGGGAGGTGAGCGTTTGTTAGAATCTTTGACAACGTGTACAAAGCAATATTCAATGCTGGACAACTTTCAATTGTGTTCGTGTCGAGTCCAAAACTCAATATATAATTCAGCACTGACCATCGCCCGTTATATGATACCATTTATTCTTAATTTAACAAGTGCATTAATTATATTAATTAGTACATCACGAAAAAAGTCTGATGCTAGACATCTGAAATAGTACTAAAAAGCCATCTTAGTGAACATAAAGATTTACTAATAAGTTCAATTATCTTATTATTATTAGCATTGTCACGTTTAATACTTACATCTGCATTCAGTTGCATTCATCAAAACGCATGGCAAAAATACTTTTTATTATTCGATTATTTACTTTCATTTGTACCTCAAACAGCAACATTTCTAATATTTGTGTTAACATCACAATTATATAAACAAGAATTTTGGAAATTTGTTAAGCGGCAGATAAAACGTCATGATCGGCAACAATAGTTCTGTGAAGCATCAATGATAGTTAGGTGAAAATGGTAGTTTTTTCCCTCATCAATAAGGTTTCCGTGGCATGCCTGGACCAAGGCGTCGCTTGGCTCCCGTTTTGAAGAGGATGCTTATAATCAGGTATGCCACAGCGCCATGTTTATTAATATGTGTATTACAAGACCATAGCAGTTATTGGCACAGAAGATCCCTTGAATATGTGATTACAGAAACTGCATAGAGAAAAGGTCTTCAGGATTGTTACATATTCGGAATCAGCGTGTCCGATTACGTTATACGGTGCAAAGATCTCGTCGGGCTATCCGCGTTTCTTTAGGTCGTTGGTTTCCGCCTTGAGAATTCATTTTATCAACTGATTTTATCTGCTCATTACGCCTGTTATAAGACAATGGATTATCGCTTTGCTACACAAATTGCATACAGACAGTTTAAAAAAGAAATCGAAATGTGTCACTGTATTTTTTCTTGTATACTTGCAGTAAGGTTTCTAAACCCCCTTAAAATAGGGTATAGAAAACCGGGTTATTCAGAAACCTCCATCTCAAGACTCCGAGGTGTAGCATATATCTGTCGAAATATATAGAAATCGACGCGCCCTTTCATTTGATACCAACTTCAAGGTTCTACGTTAGGGAATGTGGTCAACAGACGTTCTACAAGTTGGGCCACATCCGCTCGATGTAAATTGTGATCGGTTTTATATGGATTTAGATTATCCGTCGAAGCCGAAAACATCACTCTCCAGTAGTATTTCAAGTGTTAGGACAGCCTGGTCCAATTTGTTCTCAACATTTTATATATCATTTTGTAGGCCGAAAAAGTCTCTATCGAGTGGTATATAGTAGTTCAGGTTTGCTTTGAGTAAAGAGAAGACATGAGGAAAATACTTTAAATAAAGTTCATTTAAGGGAAGAATAGTTTGGATGCAAAATTTTTTCAATGGGGGCTGAAAATGGCCTTTTTGAGGTACTAGTTTTAATCACGGAGAAAAACTACATCAGACCTATGCATATGACTTTATCTGAGAGAGGGCTGATTTTGCCTCTTATCAATCCCGCCTTTCACAAAAATATTAAAACAAAAAAATTGGGTAAACATTTTCTTAACTAATGCTCCTCCTGCTTTATTTAAAATTATTTCTGTACTCCAACATCAGACAAAGGCGATAGTATTATTAGTTTTCATACTATTACTGCTAAATTCGTTCATGTTCGCACTTATTATTGACGCTAATCGAAGAACGCAATGTTCTATCTAATTTCGAATTCCAATTTATTTAGTTGTATTTATTTCAGTTGGAATAACCGATTGCGCTGCTTTTTGCTTTGCTTTTGCGCTTACAATAGTATGCAGTTGATAACAAAATGTTGCTAGTTAGCCATGTTCATTTATTTAGGTTGCACCTCATATCTAGTTTCAAGATAAAAGCTTTGATAAATGTAGTATCGGAGTGACATTTTTCTTGTTTCATTTTTTTGCTATATGGGCTATTGTGATACGTCTGCAACAAAAATTCACAGACCAACTTCTTCTGAAGAATAAATTATATAGTTTCCTGTTCTATAAAGAAATAGGAAAAATATTATGCTACACATTTTAAAACGGCTTTTTGGTATCAAACTTCAAGACCATCAAAACTTGGATATATGATCAAAATAATTTATTTGATGGTGCCACTGCACAGTAGCAAAAAAAACAATCGTTAGTCACTTAAAGACAAGATGTGAAGTAGTTTGAAAAAAATTGTTTTTTTTCGCAAAACTAAATGTGCAATGCTGATCACTGCGGTATAGTCATTGTGGTATAGTTTTTGACAACTATCGAGGTTGGTTTACTCATCAACCTTATTTTATTGGCATTTTGAAATATGGCAAAAGAAGTTAAACTTTCATTAAATGAAGTGTCGAAGTTTCTGGAACAGCCCAGGTCCAAAAAAACGGCCAGTTAACGACCAGTAAACAGCGAATACTTATGCAATCAAAATTCCACGAACCTTTTAGAACCAGCTGCCTCGCGGAATATAATGCATAAGATCTGGACAATAGCAGTAACACTTCTTCACCGACAAAAATAATGTGTATATAAGAGATTTTCAAGTTCTATGATCAGCAACACGTAGTGCCTTAGTGAGCAATTTTTCTAAAGCACAAAACTAAAACTATGCAAAAGAAATTCATATTTAATAAAAGGATGTAGTTTTTCCAAATAACATTCATCTCTTTCAAGGCCTTTTCGGTTATTTGGAAGTGGCATGACTTTTTACAGGTCCCAGTGAGCCTGGAATGAAATATACTCAATCCCGTGCTTCACGCAATTTTACAATCAGAGATTGGTCACTGCTTCAGCAATATTCTTCGGCTGAGCAATTCATCGAAAGGAGCAGAATCGGTCATCCAAGTTTTTTGAATAGCCTGGTTTCCGAACGATGCCTTGGTGTGATCATACTACATTTCATCTTCATCAGCTGACGACGAATGCTCAGCAAATGTCGGTTGCGAAATGTGAACTTCCAGTGAAGCGATTTCGATCGATGATGACAGCAAGTTGATATGCCATGATTGCGACTGTAATAGGCTTTTGTCGGCAAGGGTTAGGAAAAAATGGCCATGTGGACCTTCGACGAGTTCTAGATTTTTCATAGACAGTTTGGCTGACATCAATGATGCTAGCGCCATATGGTCTCTGCAACCTTTGGAGGGGCGTGGAAATCCACTTTTCAACTGTTTGTGTAAACTTTGACAGTCATAGCCTTCTTCTGCACAAATTTTAGGAAACTTCTCCTGAATAGCTAAAGAGATGTCACTTTTCAGAATATCCTGAGATAGTGATAAGTCTTCAGACCGCTCATATGTTAATCGTGGATTATCGATTATTTGAGCAATGAAGCGTGCTTGCGCCTTTCCAGACGCCTTTCCAAACTAAGTAAGAAGGTTAGATAATAAGCATATGGAATCGAAATAGATTTGGCTGGAGTTTTTTTGCAGACGAGTTGAAGAAAAATCTTTTTTGCAACTTACAAGCACAAGGACATGACTAATTCGAAAATATCTCTTCTCAGGTCTTTTCCGTTACCGAGATAAGAGACATTATTTCCTAGAAACTGACTCTTATTTATTGCTCCGAAGTCAAGATTTTTTGGTGAAATTGATTACTTAGGCAGTTGCAGTTGTAACTTTGTACTTAAATTATCTGGCAGTTGTAATTTTGTAAAAACGTCTTCCATGGACGAAGAGAGCGCGTAAATTTTTCAAATTTTGGACTTTTTCCAGTTTTAACCATGTCGGACACGATTTCTACCAATGAGAAGTAAACTCGCACCTAGCAACATGTCTCTATACTGTACTCGAGCTAATTATGGTTATTTTTTCCATAAAGGTATGATGATAAGTAGCCGGCAGAAAAGGTAATTATTTTACGGTTAATACCTCCAATCTCGGTAACGGAAAAGACCTGAGCAGAGATATTTTCGAATTAGGCATGTCCTTATGCTTGTAAGTAAGTTGTAAAAAAGATTTTTCTTCAACTCATCTGCAAAAAGACTCCAGCCAAATCTAGTTCGACTCGATATGGGAACACTTTTCTAGCTCAAAACATTTTTTTACTTGGGATGATTATTCTGAAGCAGACATTTTAATCAACTTTTCTTTTCTTCCAGAAATATCGTTAGGCAGATGCAAAGTACTTATTAGGAAAAAACTGATATTAAGTAATTGCAACATTGAACACCTTGTACGTGCATAACTTATCCTTTTGTAATGAAAACTTGATGCTATATGTTGTCGATTATGCTAAGTCTGATAAGTGTGTACGATGATATGTACAGCATATGTCTTTGGATATGTTATTCTTTGTCTGAAGCAGCAGTTTTGCAGCATCATTTCAACATCACATCTCTTGTAGATTTCTAATTCTTTTCATTGCATTTCACATGTTTAGACTATTAAATATGCTTATTCTTCTTTGTTATCTTCAAATATTTATTACCATACAGAGAAATATTTGATTACAGAATAAAACATGAATTGTTTTGTAGCAGCATTGTGA